AGCGAATGAGTGATGTCCTTGGAACCTTTTTCACAATATGTCATGCGTGGTCATTGGGTGCGGTATCCATGTAATACTAAGGGCCTAACTTCTATGTGCCAAGTTATTATGATCAATTTTAACTTTTGGGTAATCAAAATTCACAAATAGTGGAAAATAATAAAACACAAATAATTTGTTTATATGTAGATGGAGTGAGTTAAAAAAAAAACTGTTTATCAACAATTCAAAATTAAAATAATAATAATAATAATGATTTATTAACCATATTTATTGACAATACATTCTTATATGATGCTATAGTAATTTTTTTTGCTCTTTTTTATTGGAAGGGACATGTAAATTAATATCTATCCACTCATTCAAGATCATTTATGGTAAAGATTTATCTATTTTTAAGATAATGTTAACAATATTTTTTTCTTATATTATGAAATAACATGAAAGTGAATGAAACAAGAACGAGAAAGAAGTTGGAGAATAATATCAACAAGAAGAAAGAAAGCTTGTAACTTATATTTTATTTCACAAAAATAGACTTATTTATGACATGAAGAAATTGTAACTCTTAAAATAAAAATTCATTTTGCAATAATTCTTGTAAGTAATTTTTATTTATGTTATAATTCTCGAACATTGATAATTGTTACATGCAAATATCAACTAATTTTAAAGAAGAGAAACTCATTAGTTATCTGTTGGTGATGAATTAAAACTCTCAAGAAATAATTGTTGAAATTGCCTAGAATATTGTTGTTTTTGTTGGTGGTAAAAAAGTGCAACAGCCAATTTCATAAACTTCTCCTTAGATGTTTACATTTTTATTATATATTATTAAACTATTTCATTAAAAATCTTGTTAGACAAAAGGAAAAGTGCAGTGCATATAACACTTCCCCTCAATTCAACAAATATTTTTAATTAGGCAATTCATGCTAATTTTGTGTCTTAATTTCTCTAAAGTTCTAATAACTAATGATTTTATGATGAGAACCTACTTGATTCTCACTTGAGAAGATTTAATAGAAGATTATTTCATTTCTCCTTGGAAATTTGTACGTAGAAAATTGCTTGGGTGAGATATTCATTGATTCCAATAATTGACATTAAATTAATACTAGTTTAAGTATTATAGGGGTGTTTGTTTTAGCGTTTAGGAGGCAACTAATTGTTGTTGGCTCCTAAACCGCTATCTAAAGGTATTTGGATAAGTTTTTTTTAATAAGAATATGTGAATCAATTCACAGTTATTGAGAATATAAATAGCTACAAAATAAAAGAAAAAACCTACTTTTAGCTTTTTACCTTAATAAATTTGTAAATTTTAGCTATTTACCTTATATTATAAAACTTTTAACCCCTTACCTTTATGAATTGAAAAAAATAACCCCTCACCTTTACAAATTGAAGAAAATAACTCTTACTTAATATGAATTTATAACGTTGGTCAGCTGATTGTTAACATTCCGTTAGCACTGTTCTTGTCACCACTAAGAGTTTGTCAACTGACTGTTAACAGAATGTTAACAATCAGTTGATTAAGTAAGGGTTATTTTCTTCAATTCTGATATGTAAAGAGTTAAAAGTATCATAGTATAAGTTGATGAGTTAAAACTTACAAATTTATTAAGACAAAGGGCTAAAAATAGGTTTTTGCCTAAAATAAACTAAGTTAACTATTTGAGTTAAACCCTATCCTCACTTTTTTCATCCTCTTTTATTTGCACCAATATAGCCCTAACAATATTTCTAAAATCTTTGCAAGAACCTTGTGCAACTAATCTACCCACTGTTCCAAATACTATTCCGAATTTTAGAAAAAATTGTGGAGAAAGAGGAAGAGGAAGATGAGAGGTGAGATTGAAAGGAAATAATAGAGCATTGAATGCTTTGGGAATTAGTGATGGTGACTTGTGATCAACATCGAACGGATCAACAAAGACTAATGTACTTTGGTAAGGAGAAGCAATTGTGGGGAGAGAGAAAAAAGAGGTTCGAGGAGGGGAAGTAGAAGGATAAGGAACGGATCCATTAGAGGTAAAAATGGAAAATTAAATATACCCCACACTTATTTTCATGGGGGAGGTGGGATACGATTCACATAGTCCACTTAAGATAGGGTACTCTATCAAATAAAAAAAAAAAAGAAAAAAAAGAAAAAAACTTAAGATAGGATACAAGATGGGATAAACATCATCTCATCCCTTAACTCTCTCCCATACATTGGTTATAGTAAGATTGGAGTATTGGACACAAAATTTATCCAATCCCACTTATCCAGCACTCCGAATGTACTATTAAAGTACATATTAGAAAAATCTACTATTTATTTATTTTTTAGTATTATTATAAATATAAAAAAAGACGAACTAATTTAACTAACCTAAAATATATCCTTAAGAGTAATTTAACTCTAATAGAAGCAAGTATTTTGCCCTATTACTAAACACTAATTACAAACAACACATCTATCAACTATCAATTATCTACTATTAACTATTGACCATTGTCATCAATTATCAGTTATCATCTATCATTTAAATTTGAACGGTTAATCCAAACCCTATATCTTTTTGATAAAAGTGTAAAAAATGTGAGTTGAAACTTTGTGATGTTAATATTTTTATCTTCGATTTTATTTATTAAAAATAAACAACATGAATTGCTAATAGTGAAGAGTAGGTGGTGTAAGTGGCCTAGTGGAATGAGTATCTTATTTGCTTCTAAAGGTTCAGTATTCAAATGTTTGTATTACTCTGTTTATTTTAATTTCTTATCTTTATTTTAAAAAAAAAAAAAACTTAAATGGAATAATCTTAGTCTAAATTGAACTAGTCTCAAGTAAAGACCAAGACCGACTTATGTGAGCCAATCTCGGTCAACTAATTTCTAAACCAAGATTGGTCTGTTCCAGCCCCGTCCCACCTGAAATCGCTGGATAACATTAACACCAATACTTTTTTAGTCTTAACTCCTTCAAGTTTCCTTATAATTTGTAGCCCAAATAAAGCAATAAAAGTTTCACCAGTAATTATAACTTCTC